ATTTGCCTTTTCTGGACATCTCATATAAACGAGATTACATAAAATATGTATTTGTGTCTGGATTCTTTGACTTAGCATGTTTTGGAGTTTCATCCATATTATATAGCATGTATCAGTACTGTCAGTATTTCACTTCTTTTTATGATGATATAGTATACCATTGTATGCCACATTTTATGTATCTTCCATCAGTTGATGGACTTTTTGGCTATTAGGAATAATGTTGCTGTTAACAATTTGCATGCAAGTCATCCTGTGGACAAATGTTTTCAACTGTTCTGAGTTAGATACATAGGAGTAGAATTGCTGAATCATTTGCCTTTTATCTTTAATTCCTTGAGGGCAGGAAACCCTTCTTGGAGTTTTAGTATTTATTGCCTTAGTGGTCTTTGAATTGGCTCATCTAGCATACCTGTGACACAGTGGGTAGTGAAACTGATTAGGAAGTATTTGTGATATATTTTCAGGTTTTATGAGCCTTTGCTTGGTTTCTTTGTGCACTTGACCGTCTTTCCTCCTACTTTGAAAGAGTTTTTTGTTTTCATCTCGATTCCTTGCAATCCTAGCAAACAATCCTGGTGGTTTTGGATGGCTTAGATTCTTATTTCCAGCATAACCCCTTGTATATACTCAGTACTTTTATAAGACAACATCACAGTAATAATAGAAAACTTACATCTTATTTACATTGTATGCACATTACTCTATTGACTATTTTTGGTGAGGGTATATAAGATGAATAGAGTATAAATTTTCTTACTCAAGTTGGCTTGGTAGAATGAATAAAGTTTTTTAGGTGGTCTGATGTAGTCTACATAAACTCTTTTGTTCTGAGATTCACATGTCTGTAACCAAGCAAAGTAAAAATATTTCCCTACCCAAGTATTGTGTCATTTTAACTAGGAGACTGAAAACTTGATGTAAGAAAGGGAGATGGGTTTCTTTCACCAGACAGAAAATACTGCTATGAAGTTACTAATGCTGTTAAGGGACACTTACTGCCAGTTAAGAGAGATTAACTGAAGGTCTTAAAAAAAATTCACCTAGTGGTAATTGGTAATGCCTCTGTATTTTCAACCTCTTTTCTATACCCAAAGTCTGGCTCTTTACCTGCCAGACTAGGAACCAATTTTGACTTTCATCATAGTTTAAAATTTTTTTTATTGTTAAAATTTCAGTAGACTTGGGTGTAGGATACGAGTGCTTTTTTTATTACATGGATGAATTACGTAGTGAAGTCAGGGCTTTTAAAAGTGTACCTGTCACCCAAATAGTATACATTATACCCAGTAGGTCATTTGTCATCTTTCTCAGTTTGTAGTTTATATGTTCCATTATCACTTGAAGAAATTTTTGTTGATTTTCCTGTGGGCATTGATGAGATAGGCTCCTTGTTGTATATTTGACAAACCAAAGGGTATTCTGTAATCTGTGGGCAGCTATTGTTTTGTTTTGTTTTTTTTTATTATCGGCCTTCCCAGGGTACAGGGCATGTTTTTAAGAGAAGGAATTATAGTAGTCCCCCCTTAGCTGCAGTTTCACTCTCTTTGTTTCAGTTACCTGCAGGACAGTACAATAAGATATTTTTACAGAAAGACTATATTCTCATAACTTTCATTATAGTATATTATAATTTTTCTATTTTATTTTTAGTTGTTAGTCTCTTACTGTGCTCAACTTATAAATTAAACTTTATCCTAGATATGTGTGGACAGGAAAAAAAATCAGGGTTCAGTATTATCTGTGGTTTCAGGTATCCACTGGGGGTCTTGGAACATATTCCCTGTGGATGAGGGGGCACTACTGTACAACTGTTAATCAAAAATGATATGGTAGCAAAAGGATTAAATAAGGTCATGTCAAAAGGCAGGACACATAATGCTTAATATGGGTTCATTTGCTTTAGTTAGGAGCTTCATATTAATAATTTCTCAGTAGTGGTTAAGAGCATGCACTGTCGAGCCAGATGCCCAGTGTTTTGTTTATTTTAAAGTCCTATTTAGCCACTTCCAAGCTTTGTGACCATAGGCAAGTTACCCAGCTCTTTAAGCCATAGTTTCCTTCTATAAATGCAATTAGGATAACAGTACTCCTTTATAGCAGTAATTTAGGGTTGCTAAGATTAAATGAGATACTCTGTGGAAACAAGTTTTGCACATAGTGAGCGCTCAGTAAAACATTAGTTTAATTTAAAGCAGAAAAACAAAACCAGTTCCCTGAGAGGCTTATAGGCCCAAGACATGCTCTTATTGATGCCTCATAGATAAATGGCCTCATTACAGAGGCTTTCCATTCGAGCTTCAATAAAATGGGTGTTAGCAGCTATGAATGAGTTGCTTAAATTAAGTCTATTTTCCTTTCTTATAAAATGGAGTTAATATCTTCCTGATCTGTTTTCATTTCGTTCCTTCATTGGGTGAAGATTAACTGGTATAATGTATGTGAAGGTGTTATACAAAAACATAAGGTTAGTACTTGAAGTGAATGGTACAGCAATAATAGGTATATACTGATGCCATATCTGGTATTAACTGAGGGTAGTAATGGTATTTTTCTTAATCATGTTGTATCTTCAGTATTTATCATGTACTAGGCATGTAGCAAATACTTGGTGCACATATGATAGAGAAGGCAAATTTGGTTTATAAATCATAATGCTTTTTTTCTTGGTGATGGCAGGTCCTTGTGGAAAAAATTTGTCAGGTCATCCCATTCATGGATATGACATGAACACAATATGTTTTGGAAATATTGAATAGATTGTATACAGTAGCTGGCTTAACCACTCTCCTGACCCCTGCCTTTATCTTCGGAATAGTGCAGTATTGCTCTGACATTTATTAAATGTTTATTCCCTTTTATTGGAGAAAAAAGGGAATTTTTAAATAAGCTAAGAATTTTGACTAGATAACATTTGTTTACATAAAGTGCCATATTTCATGATAAAGACTGTTACATTTGGAGCAGGCTCAGGAGTAAGTTTTTCTGTGTCCCTTAGCACCCTTTGCAGTAATCAGTACATAACCATTTGAGGCATGGATGGGATAATCTTTGGGTCTTTGGCATCAGGGTTAAGCTTATTTTGAAATTATGCCATATTAGCATGCAAACATTGCCACATTGACATTTAGATGTCTACTTGATCATCTTAGGGTTCCTGAAGTGGTAACTCGATTTTCAGTAGAAGGAGGAAAAAAAGTAGGAGAATTGGAACTGCACAAGTTCTACAAAAGCATGTTAGAGTCATATAATGAAAAAGCAGATTTTTTTTATTATGATGTTTCTCCATATTTGGCATTGCTATAAATGGCTAACTAACATTTACTGCCAATTCAGTACAAATGTGTGGTTTGGTAATACCAGAACAGCAAATTTAAATGAAAAATAAAAGTTAAACATTTCCACACAAGTATGACATTTCACTGCGTAGGTAAAAAGACATTTTTTTTTAACTACAGATTATTATTCAGCATGAATAAAAAACTACAACTTTTATTTTTAAACAGGAGTCACTGGTTTTAATTTTTACACGTTTTAAAATTACTGTGATAAAAAATAATGAAAAAGCTTCTTAATAATGCCATACACAGTATAATATAGATTTGTCCCCATTATATAGCATTTGTTTAATATACAAAATAGAATATTGACACACTTGAATCTATATGTAGTTAAGCAAGTTATTTGAGGAGGGTATTTTCATACAGCCTTTCATCAGAAAATAAAATCCTTCTTTCAGATATTTTCTAGAGAGAAGCTAATCCTTTCCTGAAAACGTGTTCACTAATCCTTGGTGGACCAGGTTGATTGAAAATAGTCTGGAAAATGATGAAACTTCCATCCAAAATGGTTTAAAGTGTCGTCCTTACACTTTTATTTTCCCTTCCAACACTGAAACCAGGCACATAAAAAAAAACACATTCATCTACAGCTACAGTTGTTGGGGTGATCAACCAAGATTGAAATCTCATTTAAGGCTGCCATGGTTCTTGAGTTTTGACAGATCAAAGTATGATAATGTTCATTTCATGGTGATGTAGTTTTAGATTATTTAAAAGGGAACTAAAATGGTAAGACTTAAGTAAAATTGGAATTGCCCATCTCCCCAACCCAAATTCTGAAGTGAGGCCAGTTTTCCTCCATGTGCATACCCAGAGCTTATCCTATGTTAATTATCAAGCACTTTATATTTACTAATCATGTTAGGTTTTGTTTGTTTTGTTTTTTAAGAGAAGGCAGGTGCTCTTTCAGGTTCTTGGGTGTGTATATATATGCCCAAAAAGTGTTATGTCCTTAGTCCCTCAGTTTTGCTTGTATAGTATCCCACAAGAATATCTAAACACTGAAAGGGTCACTTTACTCCACCACTAATTAAAAATACTTTACGGGATTTGTTGAGTCACCTAGGCATGTCACCAACTGTCATTAAAGTTGCTATAAACTTCAGTAGTTTGGGATGGTAAGATACCACATACATAGAAAACAAAGCTGCTCTCAAACAGCATCATATCTTTTTCACTTAAATCCATAATTATACTCAAACATAATTAAGATAACGTTCTTACCCACATATTTTAAAAGGGCACAGCTTCTTTTTCCATTTAACAAAAAGCCTCCTATGTTGTCAATAGGAAATCAACTGACAGTCATAAAACAACTAAAATGCACATATCTTTTTTCACCGAGCTCTGTTTTTTCGAGTGCCAAGGTTGTTGGGACTAAAATAAGACTGTGTGATGTGCTTTCTGGTTTTAACCATATAACATTATATAAATACAAGATAATGTACTTTTTAGAAGCCCTTTTGAAACTTAACACTGTCACTGATCATATTCAAGCAGTATTTCTTAGGCACCTAAATTTCACATCCAGCCGGGTTACAAACCATCTTCAAATAATACATTCCCTTTTAGAGAGCATTCAAAAAGCAAATGATTATGTATTTTATTAAATAATTCCTCCAAAATACTGAAAATAACAAAGAACATTCAAAAAAAGTATTCAAAGAAAACAGAAAACATGTCCTATTTTTTTTTTTTTTTGAAATGAACTCTTACTGTAGGATAGAAAGGAATTAGTGTATTATTGGCAACCTGTGAAATTCTGCACTATTTACATATTGCTGGTACCTCTGTGTATTATTGCCAAACTCCTGAAGCCTCTGTTTTCATTTACTTGTTGGAGAAGCCATATGTGAAAATAACCCCGTTATTAGATGGTGCCTATAGATATGCTAACACCACCTTTCTGTCCCCCATTTACACAGTTGAGTACACTAAACCTGTGCCGACAGACTCACTGTTGGAATGAGAAGGTGGTCAGAATGGGAGGCAGAGGATTACTTCCTCTCTAATCTGATGATCGGGTCAGAGCCTCAGCAACCTTCGCTGCATACAGGGCAGTCTTCATCTCCCTCTTCCCCTAGAGGAAACCTATTTGGTTTCTGAGACCGTTGTTGCCTGTATGAATGCTTGCACAAACTATAAATCATATAGGTTATCCATCAACATTTCTTTGACCCCTACAAAAAATATATAGCATGTCGTGATAAAACAATCTCATCTAAAAATCATTCTTATTATACACTATACAAGCTATTTTACAATCATTTTAATAAATTGCATGTAAAGCTGCAGTAGCCCTTCCCTTCCCAGATTAGTGAATACCAATATGATATATATCTGAAACTATAACTAAATATAAAAATATATTAGAAGTTTCATATTTTTAATATTAGATTTTCAGTTTTCTATTACACAAATAATTTGGCCACCTTGAATAGAAATCAGATTTCTTGTGGCTTAGTAAATATGTTGAGTTTACAGAAAGTGGGTAAGGTGCACACAGAAAGGGCTACTACAGCTTCTATTTTGTTTAAAATGATAATTCTCAACAGTGAAGAAATTCACAAGACTTGTGTTAAACTCTATGGCACATGTAGGGATGTATAGTTTTACAAACAGGGATGTATGACATACAGTTCTAAATCACAGAAATCAGTAGCTGAGCTTTCTTTCCTGTACCACCAGGAAAGATTGACCAATTGGTGACAGATGGGAATGTGAAAATGGGTATCTAGCCACTTTTCTTCTGTCATATTAGAGATTTAGTTTTGGGGTAAATTTTACTTAGGGGGATTACTTGCTCTGATTAAAAATCTCTCAGCTGAGTCACAGCTTATCTGGAATCATAACTTTTAAGAAGTTACGCAAGCTACTACAAAAGGTCCCGAAAAGCAGTTTACCAACTTTCTTGCTATCTAACCATTGTAGAGAAGGGCATTAGGTACAAACGGGGCCTCTTTGTAGTTATTATTTTTTAAATTAGTCTTTTGCAACCATCATCCACAGTTTACCCAGCAGGTCACTGGACTAGGTGCTATATACCACTTAGGACGGTTAATGTGCACAACCTATATAATTCTCCACTGAAGCAGATATATACAAAATATGAGCTTTTTTTTGACAAGAATACTGGAGATTTGAGTCAATTTTTGTGGTCTTCTGATAGCTGTGTGCCATCAGGTTAGAAGCACCAACCCATTTTCACACCGAAGATTAATGTTTAGAGTTTATTTAGGAAAGCTATGAACTAGCTGCCCATCTTAAACAGCTGTACAATAACTTGAATACAAAAATTATGTAAGAAAAAATGAGCAAGCGTAGTTCACTGAATAGAAAGGAAATTGTTAAAACCAGACAGTAATAGCTATAAAAGGCACAACTTCCCTTTTCTGATATACACTTGTAAACTTTTTTCAGGTTTCCATGCATAAATCAAAAATGCTATCCTAACTATACAGGGGAAAATACACCAACAAAAAAGTCTAGAAAATTTTATCCAGCCAACTGTGAAAAGTATGAGCAGAAAGTTCATCACACAAACTTTGGGCACTGGTGGTTTAGGTGCCATCCTTCTCTGACAGTGGCGATTACTTCCACGTTACTGTTTCTATTTTCTGGGATAGACCAGCTAATGAATTTCACTATCTACTTTCCCATCACTGAAAAGTGATGACTCAACTGCTTCTGTTGCCAAGTCTTGGCCCTCTATAAACCACATGTAGTGCGTATTTAAAACAAAACAGACAAAAACAAAAAATACAAAATAAAACAACAAAACCTCTACAGGACAAACTGGTAGTTTGTACAATAAAAGCTATAAATTCAACTTTCTTTAAGGCAACCTTTCTTATTAAGGCAGTCACTTTTGATGAAAAAGAAGTTTTTTGATATTTCCATTTGAATATTTTGGTATCTGATTTGTAATGATTTCAGCTAACATCTCTGGGAATTCAATACTCATGGTCTTATCCAAAAATGTTTGGAAGCAAATGTTAAGGAGATTTTCAACCACCTGCAAGAGAAGATAATAGTAATGATTAGGCTTCAAAACTGATCAGCAGGAACATCTCATGTTTATTGGCCTCTTTTTTTTTTTTCTTAACATCAGACCTAGAATATACCAATCTCTACTGGAATTCCCCAGGTGAAAAAGAAGCTTAAATATAATAAGCACTTACATACAAAATACATTTTAAATTCCTTTAATTGTATATAGTATTATATGAAATTAAATATTTCATGATGAACTATAGTACCATAATATATGAAAGGCATATTATTCTAATTTAATGGATTAATCATACATAAAGATGGAATTCTACCTTTTAAAAAATAGCTATGAAATTCTTTAATGGTTATTTTATATGCACATGACTAGATGAAGTGATATTTCATAATTGGCCTTAGGAAAATGTAATAACTGTCACCAAAATCCACAAACTGGGATTAAAAATTATTGGTATATAATCACTTGCACTAATGAAAACAAACTTTGTGTCCCAGAAAATTCTTCTTATGCTTTGACACTTACTTCATGCATGGAATCCAAGAGTTTCGTCAGTTGATAAAATCGCTGCCAGTTCTGACTGGAGTTTCCTTCTCTCTTGACAATAGCTTTTCCTAGCTCTTTGATGTAGGTCATTCTAATTTCATCAAATAGCTCTTGACTCTTCAAACCATCCTTAGGAACTAAAAGGTTAAGATGGAGTCAATTAAAGGATTTTCTTGCCATAACTTTTTATACATCCAAGAAGGACATTTAATAGCAAACTCTATGACTTATATTGTCTATACACTCTTAATACATTATAAAATATAAGCATTTTCAAAGGATTATGAAACTATAGGAGAGAATATGGGATAATAGAGAACTGGAGGACTTAAGCTTTAGTAAATCACTTGGTTTCTCATCTATAAAATAGAGCTGGTGGTAGTACCTTCTTCCCCAGTTCACAAAGCTACTTTGAAGACCAAATGAAATAATACAGTGATTAGTTAACTTTGGCTGTCATCTTGTACTTGAGTTTAATTCTAGTATTGACTTAGAAGGCTATTAACAACAGTGTTTCTTCTACCAGTTAGATCCTAGCCTATGTGTGATGTCACTGGTTAATTAGAACTTGTAAATCAACATGCAGTATATTTTTAATGTGTTAATATATTGAGTTGATATGATTCCAATCTAAAAGGAAACATGATTTTTTATATAGCTTATAGGATATGCCTTATTAAGGAGCAGAAACCTGCTTTTCCTGATATACTGAGAAATACTAAAAATAGCTCGTGGGTTCTGGGCTGTAAAATGGGTATAAAATGAATTTTTTTTACATATTACTCTTCAAAAATTGGTACTAGTAATGACAATGAACAGAGGGTTAATTGTGGTTTTACTTAGTCTTGTAGAGATCATGACTTTTGTAGAGGGCTACATTTCACAGTGTGCGCCTAGAAACACTGGTTCTGGGTTAACAATAGAGGGAGAGAAAAAGGATTTGGTGGTCAAAATTTAAGAAAAGCTAAATGTTTAATACAAACAAAGTTAGGCAGACTTCTGAATGTCAGAATTTCTCAGAGATATTATGTACTCTGAGCCTGTTTCCTGCTGTCTTTCTCAGTGGATTGTGATTAAAATGAAACCAATGAATATGTACAAAAATGTTTTGATTCTATACTAAGATGATGGTATTAAGGCAAAAATGAAGATTACTTAATTAGGAATGCTAAGGGCACACCATGTTAACAATGGGTTAATTCTATATTACTGTATTACAGATAATTATTGCAAACATTTAAAATAGTGGTTGCTTATTTATAATTTTTTTTTCCTGCTAGTTAGTACTAATTCTAAAAATAATTATGATGAGGCCCTATTAATACCTACATTTAAAAGAATTTCATCCATCTCAAATTTCTGGGCTGTTCACATGTTTTCAACTGTTTAATGTTAAAATCACGAACATAACATCCATTTCTGGTCATAGAGAGTAAGAATAGTCTAGAATTCCCCTTATGCTATAAAAACTGGACAGCTAATTTTATATACTGGACAACAAACAGTGCATGATTATGATCCCTGCAAAAAGGGAAACAAATCAAATCAGTGAGCCATACGTAGTTCAGGAGTAACAAGTCTTAATTCTAGGCTTATTTTGCTTGAAAGTAATTATCATACTGCAATGAAGGGAAGGGAAACCCAGAGTCCAGCAGTCTTGCTGGGTTGAACAGAAAAATCTCATTAATGGAGGCATTCAGTAGAGACCTAAATAGGGCCACATCTTAGAAATAAGGCTAAATTAGTCTTCAAACAAAGATGACTGCTTCTCAAATGGAGACGGGGAGATTTTGCCCCAAGGGGACATTTGACAATGTCTGGAGATATACTTGGTTGTCATTGTCTTTATCTAGGAGACATAATCCTAAATGTGTTTGCATCATCAAATGACAGCTTCAGAATGCATGATGGTCTCTGATCTAAGCATTCTACAAGATAGCCATGTAACAAAAGGACTTATACCTCCTTAACTAATACTTTGAAATAAAAAAAAAAATCCCTAAAATAAATGACATTAAAAGTGATGAAACTAAACAGACAAATCCATAATTAGACTTGGAGATTTGAATACCTCTCTCAGTATCTGATAAAGTAATTAGAAAATCAGTTAGAATATACAGGATGTAAGTAACACTATCAAATAATGTGACTTAATTAACATATATAAAATATTCTACCCAAGAACAGCATTCTTTTCATATATATATAGGACATTTACCAAAATGGATCATAATCTAGGATATAAAACAAGTCTGAATAAATTTAGGAGCATTAAGTCACACAAAAAATGCTCTAAGAAAAATTAAAATAGAAGTCAACATATCCGAGAAAATTTTGGAATTTAACAACATACTTTTAAGTAATCTATGGATTAAAAAGACACCATAAGAAAAAATTTTAAATCTTTTGTATTGAATAAAAATATGACATACCCAAATGTGTAGGATGCAGTAAAAACAGTGCTTAGAGGGAAATTCATAGCATTAAAAGCTTTTGTTAGAAAAGAAAGGTCTCAATTATATAAGCTTCCATCTTAACAAACAAGTAAACAAAATGAAACACAAGAAAAATGGAAAGGATATAAAGAGTAGAAATCAATAACTAAGAACATGCATGTACAAGAAAGAAAACAAATACAAAGCTGGTTCTATGAAAACATTAGTAAAATTGGAAAACTGTCAGCCAGACTGATAAGGAAAAAGAGCAAGAATATATGAAGTACCAATGTCAGGAATGAAAGGGAATATAGCAGAAGAGATTTGAAAGGGAATATTATAACTTTATGCCAAGAAATTCAACATTTGGATGAAATAGTTCAGTTTCCTGAAAGATGTAAACCAACAAAGTTCACTCAAGAAAAATAAATATGTAGTAAAAACTTGATGAACTTGTAAAATCTTGCTATATGAAAGGCTCCAAACCGAAATAGTGTCACTGGTGAATGTCACTAGACATTTAAGGCAGAAATAATACCAAATTATCACAAAGCCATACAAACACATTGTAACAAAGCTGTGGAACCACATCCCTTATGGATTTACGTGCAAAAATACCTAGCAAAATTTTAGCACACTAAATTCAGCGATATATAAAAAAGACACTATATTATAACCAAGCAGGGTTTATCCCAGAATGCAAAGCTGGTCAAATGTTCAAAAATCAAACCTTGTATCTCACCATATTATGAGACTAAAAAGGAAAAACTATATGATGATCTTGATGCAAAAAAGCATATGACAAAAAATTATATTTTTTGTTTTTTGCTATTATGAAGAATGCTGGTATGAACATGATTAGTCGCTAGACAAATGCATGTTAAGTCATAAAACTACACTTGCCAAGTAATTCAATAAGGAACAGGCAGTCCAGTCTTGAAGCCATTGGATATGCATTTGGAAAAAAATGTAACTTTGTGCCTTACACATCACATCATATATGCTTAGGTATATGATTCATTTCAAGTTATTTTTTATATAAGGTAAAAGGACAAAATTTCTAGAAGAAAACATACAGTAGAAAATGTTTTTAACACTAGGCTAAGCAAACATTTCTTGGTACACAAAGATATGAACCATAAAAGAAAAAAATGGACAAATGGGCCTTCATCAAAATTATGAACTTCTGGCTATTTGAAAGACTGTTAAGAAAATAAATGCAATCCATTGACTGAAAGAAAACATTTGCAAAATACATGTTTGAAAAAGGGCTTATAGCCAGAAAATATGAAGAATTGTTATATCTCAATAAGATAAACAATTCAATTAAAAAATGACAGAAACTTCAAAGAGGCACATCTGCAAAGAAGAAATACAGATGACCAATAAGCCTGTGAAAAGGTGCTTAACATGTGTAATCATTAGAATGGTTACCATGAAGGAGATTGGTAATACCAAGTGTACAGGAGGATGTGGAGCGTATCTTAAGTTTCACCTATTTCTGGTGAATTATGTTATAGTGATTGTGGAAAAGTTTGACAGTTTTAAAAATAAATTTAAACATACACTCATCATTTGTTGCAATGATCTCACACTTTTGAAGTGTATGTCCACATCCTTATTTATTTTTTATGTCCGCTTGATTTATTGATTGTGAGAAAGATATGATAAAAATGTCACTATATTTGTAAGAGTTAGCTAAATATTCCTTTAGCTCTATGAATTATTTTTAATTTTTTTGGAAGGTATATATCTAGAATTTTCCTGGTGAATAGAATGCTTTATATAATGAGTATCTTCTATGCATAACTGTGTTCTGCCTTAAAGGCTATTTTGTTTGGTAATAATTTAGCTACTTCAGTTTTCTTTTGGTTAAAGTAGGGGCTAGCAAACTGTAGCCCATATTTGCAAAAGTTTTACTGGAACACAGTCATGCCTGTTCTGTTCAAGTATTGTCAATGACTGTGTTCATGCCACAAGGGCAGAGCTGAGTAGCTGTGACAGAACCTGTGCGAAGCTGAAAATATGTACCATCTGGCCCTTTACAGAAAAAGTTTGCTATCTCGTGGGGTACACTGTGCATAGTAGATCCTTTACTTCAGTCTTTCACTGTCTTTATTCAGACATATCTCTGATAAATATCATAAAGTTGGATTATTTTTTAAGTCAGTATTTCAGTTTAGCTTGGAGCCTTAGAGCATTCAGTCCATCTCTACATTTAATGAATACTGATATATCTGTACTATTGTACCTTATCTGTTAATTCTTATCATGTTTGTGTGCCCCCCCTCATATCTTTCATTCTTTTGAATTCTTTTTCTTATGCTCCCCCTTCCCCTTATGGTTTGGTACTTTCCATGTTTTATTTGTAATTGTCATCTTTAAATATTCATTCTTACCAAACTCCCCTTTGGGCTTATGTGCAATTATTGTATACTTCTATTTTTTTAAGCTCCAAAGATATTATTACTATTGTTACTTTATACACATAGGAGACATTAGTTTAAATGTACCTACATATATAGCACTTTCTTTGTTCTTTAGTCCTCCCTAAAGATGGGATTACTTTCCTTTAGCTTTATAAGTATTTTTTTAATGAGGGTCTGTGGTGGCAAACTATTTTCACCTTCATTTAAAAAAAAGACTACTAGTGTATTTAGACTATTCCACTTTAAAGTGATTGCAGATATGGTTGGATGAATATCTACCATGTTTGTAACTGATTTTACTCAAGGCACTTATTATTTGCTTCCTTTTTTATCTTGTCCTCTGTTTTCATTGAGCATTTCATATGATTCTATTTTCTCTCCTCTCTTAGCATATCAATTACTACTTTTTAAAAATTTTTAGTGGTTTCCCTAGAATTTGCAATATACATTTACAAGTAATCTACATACCCTTTCAGATAACATTATGCCACTTTGTAGGTAGTGCAGGTACCTTATAACAAAGTATTTCCAGTTCCTCCCTCACATCCCTTAACATTGCTGTCATTCCTTTCACTTATCCATATTTTTAATCATCCACTCCATTCTTACTGTTACCTTAAATAGTTATCTATTAGATTAGGACTAAAATGAAATATTTTATTTTACCTTTATTCCTTTACTAATTCTCTTCCTTACATTTTTAGATCCATGTTTCGGGCATATCATTTTCCTTCCCTCTGAAGAACTTTAAACGTTACATGAAAAGAAGGGCTAATGTTGACAAATTCTTTGTTTTTATTTTAATAAGTCTTTATTTCTCCTTCATTTCTGAAGGATAATTTTTCTGGATACACTATTCTACATGGTATTTTTTTTTTTTTTCTTTAACACAGTATTTCACTTTACTCTCTTGTTTGCATGATTTCTGATGAGAACTCTGATAGAAGTCAGACTTACATAAGTCAGCTGTTTTTTTCCTCTGGCTTCTTTCAAAAGTTTTCATCTTTGGTTTTCTATAGTTTGATTACATTTCTTAGGTGTGGATGTTTGGGTATTTATCTTGTTTGGTACTGAGGTTCCTGGATCATTATGAAAAATACTCAGCTATTATTACTTGTAATTATTTCTTCTGTTTCTTTCTCTTTTTGGTATTCCTATTACTTGTATATTGCCCCTTTTGCAAATACAAAGAAAAAAAAAAGAATGAAAAGTTTTCTTTTTGTATTTGAGTTTGGGACGTTTCTATTGACCCATCTTTAAGCTCATTGATTCTTCCCTTGGCTGTGCCCAGTCTACTGATGAGCCCTTCAATATCATTCTTCATTTCTGTCACAGTATTTTTAATTCCTTAGCATTATTTTTAGTTTCCACACTCTGCTTATGTTACCCATCTGTTCTTGTATGCTGTCTACTTTTTCCATTGAAGCTTTTAACATATTAATTATAGTTATCTTAAATTCCCTATCTAATAATTTCAATATTTGTGTCATATCTGAGGGACTGCTTCTGATGCTTGTTTTGTCTCTTCAGACTGTGGTAATTAGACTTTTAGTGTGAGGTTTCATGTTACTCTAGCTAGGAGCAGGGCTGTATGTAATGTTTGCTGTAGATACAAGAGCCTTCAGTTCCTCCAGTTTCCTTGTTTTTCTATTTTCTCCTCTGTTGTCTCTGGATTTCCCTAAGAACTCCCTAAGCAGCTTGTTCTCAATTGTAAGCCACTGTTGCTATTACTGGAGCCCTGTTTGGTAAGGTGTTGGGGAGGTGATGTGTTTTTATAATCTTAAATTAAATCTCAGATTTTTTAGTGGGCCTGAATCCCTGGGCTGTAACCTTCAGAAATGTTTTTTAGCCTCCTCTCCCCTATTGTGAGAATCCTCTATTCACCTTTTCCCCTAGGTCAGATAGAGCCCTCATAAAGTGTTAGAGTTTCCCTTGGAGGGCAGGTCTTTGTTGTGAAGAACATTCTCCATGTTTATTTTCCCCTACCAGAAAAATGAGGGAATTTTTCTCTCATCCTCACTGTAAGAACATGGTGGAGTTTCTGGAGGTTAGAAATTTTCTGGGGTAAACCCAAGAAATTGTGGGGAACCCCCCCAAAGGCTGGGCCCCTGGGAGTTTTTAACCCTGAAGCTAGTCCTTACTCAGCTTTCGATAATTCATTAAAATTACTGCAGTCTTCCTATCAGTCACTAGCTCCAGTGGCTTCTGTTCCCAGTAAGCTGCTCTTGGCTGTGGTTCTCTGTATTTATCTGTTTCTCCAGATGCTGAGGTGGTGGTTTGCCTTGTGACCTCAATTCTCTGATGGAGCTAAGAAAAGTCATTGGTTTTCAGTTTCTATAACTTTTTCTTGTGATATATATATACACACACACACAGATGTGTTTGCCTTTTAAAAAATTGTATTTCCTCAGATACATATTTCAGTTTAAGTGTCTCATCTGCTTTTAGATCCATCCATTGCTTTTTCAATTTCACTTATATTTTCATTTATACTAAATGCCATCAATGGGAAAGCTAACTTCAGAGTGTACCTCCCCTCCATTGGTTCCTGCATTCTGTAGTGGAAGGTTATGGTACCAATTTCCACAGTCCATCAGAACAGAAGTCTACATCTTAAGGTATGTATTCTCATCCTTGTGATTCTGTTCTTTTTTTTAAAAAAAAAAGAATTTGTGATACGTACTAATTCAATGTGCTTTTTATCTATAATGAAAAAAATATAGCTCAGTGAGTCTGGTATATATAAAATTCAAATTGTTATGTTTTACAAATAAGGTGGTTAGTATCTAGGCACTGAACTGTAACGCGATGAAGTCCCGATCAGAACTTGATGTAATAGTTTACTTCTTTACTGTTATCTGTAGCAGTATACTTGTTAAACAAGCCTCGAGCAATGATCTTTACAGTGAGGATTTTTTACTAGGTTCTCTGAAATATTCTTAATATTTCTTATATCCTTTAAACTAAAACATTTTGCAAAGCAAAGATAGTATGAAAGTGTTAAGACAGATGTATGCTTTGGAAATGGTTAAATAGATACAGTAATGTGCAACATCCATAGCTTAAGCCATTTGATAAGTTACTAATGGAATGAAGACTTTTTTTATATGAAAGAAGTATTTAGCCATTGACTCAGTATTTTATTAAACATCAGACCATGCCAATACAAATATATCAAATTAAAGTTTATAATAAAGATTTATTTTAGAGCAGTTTTAAGTTCATAGCACAACTGGGAGAAGGTATAGAGATTTTCCATACACCTCGTGCCCCACACATGGATAGCCTCCCCATTATTGACATCCCCCACCATGATTACAACTTAATGAACCTGCATCGACACAACACCCAAAGCCCCTAGTTTACATTAGGGTTCACTCAGTATTGGACATTGTATGGGTTTGGACAAAATGTGTAAGAACATGTATGCAACATTCCATTCACCTACTGAAGGACATATTTGTCTTTGCTACCTGAAAATAATGTCACTGAAATTTTTATACCAGTAGCTTTACCTAAACTTTCAAGATTGTGAAACAGAATATCTCTAACAGTCTAGCTCCAAGCTGCATTAACCAATCCCTCAACTAGTAATACCATTGAAATTTTTGACCCAATGTCTTATATAGTGGTATGCTCAAATGAAGGGGAAAAAAGAGTCGGTACAAATTCCCTGTGCCACTCATATACCTCTCTCTATTTCATGAATCTTGGTATCATTATTAGTTCTGTATATAAATAAACCCTTGTTTTGAGACTTTCATAGTTCATGCTTTTGACATATATAGAAGTAAATAGGTATTATACCAACCTGAAGAGAGAAGCAGTAAGGTTTTCATGCAGAGGTACTCTTCATAAGATACCTGAAGCCTTTGTAATTCAGAGGAAACATACAGCATATGTTTACATTGGTCATACATGCAGGGTAGACTCATTCTTTGCCTGTGAAGTACAAATTACCAGGGTTTGAGTAACAAAGAAATAGTGCTAGTTCCAAAAAAAAGGTTTCTTGGGGCTTTATTTTGTAAAACTATGAACTCATAAAGGAAACTATAACTACTGCTAGTCATGCTAATTCCCGATAGAATCAGAATTGTAGAAAACTTCCCTAAAACTTGTTCCTGGATCTACAGAGACTAATGCATAATCTAATTTTATATTGGAGGTAGTATTTCCTATCATGTATGTTAGGTATTCTGTTTACTTAAGTATTTAGAATTTATTCTTATAGAATTTATCATCAGTTGCTCATTTAAACCAAAGTTTATCATTCTAATATAGTTAGACAACACAGTTTTGATCCTACCCTTCTAATCCATTTTGGCTTCTTTTTGTTCCTAGACTACAATGGAAATTCTATTAAATGGCCTATAAGATTCTGCTTATCTTGGCCCCCGTTCACTTCTCTAAATTCATACCCATACATGATGCCAAACTTGTTTCAACTCTTTGTACCAGTTTCTTCTTCCTGGAATGCCTTACCCTTTCGTACAGCTTGTTCTTTTGTACCGTTTTTTCTTCAGCTGCTTAAGAGGCCTTCTGTAGTCACAAAATCTAAAGTAGTATATCCACCATACTCTTTGCCCTTAGTCACACTATTAGATGATGGCTCTATGAAATAATTTTGGTTATTTGAATTCTCCTATGAGAATCTTAGCAGAGGCATCATCTATTTTGTTTGCTATTATGCCCCAAGCTCCTAACATAGTTCCTGGCACTTGGAAATATCACTGAGTAAATACAATGAAACAATACCAAGTTTAATTTAATGGTTCAGCCAGGACTTTTAGACTAGTTTTCCTAATAGAGGAGAAAACTGAATTCTTACTCACCCTGCCTGATATGTGGCGTTGGAATTACCTAGCAGTAGTATAAGGAAAAGTGTCCTGGATCTAGAATTACTCTAAGAATTTCTTTTAAGATACCTGGGGCTACTATCTAGTCTTTACTAGGGGAGCTTACTATATCATAAGTCAGGCCCTCCCATTTAACATCCAGCTCAAATAAACGCTTTTCCATATCTTCATAGAGTATCTCTTTAAGCTGTCCTCATTGCTCTCAAATCTTCCTTTCTCCAAACATACCCTGTTCATCAACCAGTGTTAATTTCCATACTCTTTGCCACACTAGACACATTTCTGTTTGCCACTGTTACTTTTAATGTGGCACCCTGAAAACTACTAAAGATGAATTTACTCATGTAGAATGCATTGATAAACAATTCTATTTCAAGTGTGCCCAGTTCCTAGATATGCGGTAGGATCGATTCAGTCCTGAATTATCACAATAGCAGTCCATCAGCTATAGCCTATAAATTCAGGAAAAATGATTCACATACAACTTACTCATTAATAATCAGATCAGGAGCAAAACACAGCATGTTTGCACTTGTTTGTCTGTATGATCTCCATCCCAGGGCAAATGCCATGAGAAACATCCACGAGTACTGCAGGAGGGTCATTTGGTCATCCAGATGCAAGTTCCTGAATCCTGAATAAATAGAAATGAAGGTATGAGGCAACAACTCTATTTCTTCGGGAACTGCCGAAGAACAATTAGATTACTTAGCTGTGTTTTTTAATAGCATTCACTATAAGTAGCCAGTTTTTGTCACTTTTGCCCACTTAAGTAAACATGAACTAAACAGAAAGCCAAGGGTCTTGCCTTGGTGGTTATCAGAAGCTAGGAACAGTGGCCAGGAGGGGGAGATGAAGAGGGTTTGGTTAATGGGTACAAAAATATAGTTAAATAAAAGGAATAACGTTCTAGTATTCAGTAGCACAATATGGTGACTATAGTTAACAATAATTTATTGTATATTTCAAAATAGCTAGAAGAGAAGATCTGGAATGTTCCCAAATATTTGAGATGATGGGTATCCCCATTACATTGCTTTGATCATTTCACATTGTATGCATCAAAATATCACATATAACACATAGATATGCTATTATGTGTCAAATAAGAAAAAGAGTCCTGGCTTGGCATATTAATGAATTTAAGTAAAAAACTGCCCTGATAGTACGCCTTGATAGTAAAGACAGGGTTGACACTGACATTCACCTCTGCCATCCATACCAAGTTCCAGTAGGGAAACTTTTTTTATTTAAAATTATCTTAAAAATTAGATTAAAATGTACATTCAATGTATAGCATTTCATTTCATTAAAATCATTCTACTTTAGTACATTTTGACAAAGAGTGAACACACCTGATAATTACCAATTTTGTAAATAACCTGATTTTTAAAAGTGATACACTGAAGGAAAACTAATAAAATTAGATATACATTTTCTTCTCCTAGACTTCAGTGTAAAAGGAATTTTGTAACTGTAGTTCTGACATTGCATCATCCTATCGGAAATTACTGTGCAGGGAGCAGTGCATAACCTTTGTTATTCACCTGACTCTCCCCTTCTTAGTCCCCAGAAGTAAGAGAAACAATATAAGCCCATGGGATCAAGATGATAAAAGACCAGAGTGTTTTTGTTCAAGACAATGTATACAAAGGTTTATACAGTAGCTCTGTCATCCTTTGCATCTTACCTGGTATTGCCTTTGCCCATTTCACTGCTGCAATTACTTGCCGTCCCCCTAACATGTTGAGTGAGGTCATGATCCTCCAAGTTGAGTCTGGAACAGAGCTATCATATCCTGCATATAACACATCAGGTTCAATGACCTCCAGCAGTGACACGAGCGTAGGAGTGAGTTGTGGTAATGTTGCAGGAACTATTGTTTTGTTGGAAGGATTTTCAGAATTTTCTTGAGACACCCCTGTTGTAGCCTGCTGGATTCCTTTTATTTTTTTCTTTGTTTTTCGAGCTGTGGGTATTAAAAAAATACATAGACATGAATGGAAAGGTCTGGGCTATGTAGTTTATTCAAGGGGTCTTAATTTCTGCAACTTTTAAGACAGGAGAAATACTTTATTTAGCAATTACGATACATAGGAGGACCCTGTTCCAATATTAATTTTCCTTACTGATAAGCCAATAATTTCTTCATTATGGTTATGCTTTACACAAAATAACTTTTTTATAACACTATGTTAAAACAATCTGAGCAAATCACTCTGTAGATTCCTCTATAAATTATTTTTTGCCTCACTTTCACTCTAATTGTAAACATTTCATTGGCTATATGAAGCAAATTACTATCAAAAGAATCTAGAAACTGTAGGTTAGGACCTACATTATAGTATATATAATGAAGAGAGCAACACTATTTCTACACTTGTACAAAGCCACCTTCTTATCTAGATAGGAACATGATACAGCAGATTACATGCTATAAACAGTTTTCTAACAATAGAGAAAACCTTTTTATCTTTATATGATACATACCGCTTGGGACTAAAAACATTTGGGAGAGGAAAAGAAAAACTTTACGTAAATTACGAGCAGGAAACATCCATTTTGTAAACAAGATTAAATTATATGCTTAAATTTTACTTCTAAGTCTGTCAGACTTACAACAAAAGACCTGATTGGAAATGGCAGTGATGGTATGCTTGATAATACAAAAATCAGATGTCAGTCACTTCTTGGTTATCTTCTAGTGAGGCAAAGGACACTTTGGATAGGGACGACTGTTCCATGCTTAATGTTACTGGGTAAACAATCATACTACATTAGGATTTGAATAAAGCTCCAACCCAAATAAAATTCTATCATATCTCTATTTCTAAATATAAAAAATAGCTGAGATGAAAACATAGGATTAGAGAAAACTAGTAAAAGTAGGGCTGGAGAAAAAACAAAAGAATGACTGAAAACTCATGTGCCTTAATATATATTTAAATGGTCAAAAAATATGACATACGCAGGAGATTGGAGAGCAACACAATGAAACTTGGTAAAATCTAGCCAGAGATTTGCTAGGGAATAAGAAAGTGGGGAATAAATTACCCTTGTGGTACTGAAAGAAAACTTCTGCATGAATTTGTAATCTCCAGCTTTTGTAACACCTAAAAGACACTGGACAGCTATAATTTTACTTAAATTAACATTTAACATGTTGGCACTCTGTAGTCAACCTGTTCAAACTTACATACAGCTGTTTGTGTGGTCTGGGAATTAGACCCTTCATTAGTCATACCCATAAATCTAAGAAGTACTTGAACAACACACACACACAGTGCTAGATAGCACGAACAGTTAATATCTCTTATCAAGAGAACCACATGGTTTCCATTCTCTCTCCGTCTCTCATCTGGATGACTGCTATAGTCTTTCTAAAAGACAAATCTGATCATGTCTGTATCCTTAAAATACAACGTTACTTCTTCCCTGACTTCCTGGGCAGAATTTGGTACCTTCCCTCTTGCTCCTGTGGTTTTATTTCTCTTATGGTGTGCCAGGCTATGTCATGATTGACTCTGCAACCTACCTAGACAGTATAGTCCTTTGAATACAGGCACCATTTTATTCATTTTATGCCTAGTGACTGGCTTGTTGGTGCATACTTTCTGAATAAAAGTCCATCACAACAAATATTAAACACATAGATTATCAGATCACCACCAGCACTTTCATAGACCTTGTAATTTCAACTAGAATTCCAAACTTTTTTCAGGGGAAAGTTTTTAAATGATGAGATCAATGTTAATTACACAACTTGTTATGTAAACAGGGATATGAAACTCTATCAAGTAAAGAAAAACCCTGAAACTAGTTATAAGTTAAACAAAACAAAGCCTTTCCAATGCCTCTCTGAGGAGTTATAAAACATGTATGTCCATAGGGATTTCTAAAACGTAAAAGACAGAAAAACGAACATGTAAATGTATGATATACAGAAACATTTCCAACCCTAGGAAATGGTTTTGAGGCTGAAGAAAGGAATAAGAAAGAAAAAGTTGCCTCATGTTGTACAAGTTTCATTATTACATAATTTCCTTTCTTGGTATAGAGTCTGGCTGTACTGAATTCTCTGTGTAATAAGAACTGGTAAATAAATAGAATATGATCTATTCATGAAAGAAATTCCCATTTTTATTGGGCAATATTATATGAAATTATGCTACTCAAGCAATAGATATGCTGAATTGACTAAATTATTGCATCTGTTTAGTTGTGTCTTCAAAATTACAACATTAAATTTTCATGTGATACAGACAAACAATTGCTTTCAGGTATTTATATTACCTTCCAGATTCATTCCAGCTTGAAGACATTTTCTGTAGCGGCATGCTGGGCAGTTCTTTCTTCGAATTTTGTCAATGATGCAATCATTTCTTCCAGCACAAAGATAATTGTGCTGTCCTATGTGGAATAAATGGAACTGTTAGACAGCCTCTATTTGTTTCACATGGAACACACACAGGTATTGATTAGGGGAGTATTCTTACCTACGTATTGCCACTACAAAGTTGAGAGGTCAACTAAAAACCAACCAAACAAAAAACACTTTACTAGAGTATACATACATAAATGTACACAACTCTTGAGTGTACTTAATAAATTCTCACAAGCCAAGGCACTCCTCCATGTAATCAACTCTTAGATCAAGAAACAGAAAAGTACCCCACAAACCTCACAGTCCCAGTCACTACCCACCAATGGTAAGTAACCAGTTTAACAAATTATACTTTACTAATTTAACAGTTACAGATGCTGTCTGTAATTGCTATTTTATTATGACTTTTGACCTAATGCTGAAAGGGCTAAAGACAGAGGAAACTGGTTTGAAAATAATGTGGGAGTCCCAAAGAGAAAATGATTTAAATTCAGCATTATGCCACCATATGCAAATAAAATGTGCCCCTCCTCCTGACTTTAAATGAAATGATAGGAAAACAGCAATATTTAATCTTGAATGTTAATGCCGCCAGCCACTGGTCAGATGAATCACAGACTTAGACTTAGCAAAGTAAACTACTATATATTGATCTTACAGAGATCATTATTTCACATGCTTTTAGAATATAAAGATGTTTGAATTCACCTTTGACCTCAAAGATTGTTACTTTAAAATTAACACTTAAATGATGTTTTAAGAAGTAGAATCACAGTTCTCTCCTGGCAAAAATTTTCAAGGAAAATTTAAAAGTGTCTCCACCTCCCACATGCACATTCTTGATGTCTTCTTTTAATCTGGTTATTGAATGTTGGAGAAAATTATATGAGCATCTGCTGGCCTGGCAAACACTGGAAGAAGTCTCCTACACAGGACTAGCTTGTCTACATAGATACACTACGTAACTAAGAGTCCATATACCCTACACTAGAGGGGATGGTCTTCACAAGACTCTGCAGGGTATTTCTCTACAATAAATCACATTTGAAAAAAAAAAGAATCATAATTGTCAACTCACTAGGTTAAATATCTACCAGTTCTGGTTTCTGGGAAAAGATCCTTAATGCCTAAGACAACGTAAGACATGATTTGGATGAAAATGAACTCTTATATCAAGAAAAAGCAAATGTATTCATAAATCACAATGCCCTTTAAATACTAGTTTTGGGTAGATGGTTAACTGTATCAGGTTCAATTCCTTGTCTGTGATGAATAGTCCACAAAGTTGACTAAATAGACTAGACTACAATTCAGCTTTGTTCCAGAGCTCCTCTTCAGTGCCAAATGTCTGTACCAGCTGTTTCAGTTCCTTTCTGTATTCTGTAAGTTTCCTAGCTTCTTTACTTCGACATGAAATGGAAGCACTAACCCAGTAATCCTCTATAAAGTGAAAGTAGGAACAATATCCATTGCTGAGGCAGTTACAATAAATCACTACTTGTAGTTACTAGAAGAAACAATAGAAAAAAAATCCAATGCCTTATTTATAAATATTGATTTCTTTATCTCAGGTATGTCTTGAGTACAACTAAAACTCTGAGATACTGCTCAGGGAGGTATTGTACCTTCTTAAGATAAAATTAGTCCTATCTAGTTATTACCATGAAGTTGGGTAAGGCCTGTCTGTTCCTTACCTATAAAATGAGTTTTAACTTGTCTTCAGTGTTTGATAACACATGGTCATGTACCACTAATAGTCATTTCCTGTCAATCCTTTTGATAAGACAACCACAGATTTTATTTTGGAGTTCCTATGTCTTCTACCACTTGGAGGAACAGACTCTACTGTCTCATTCTGAATTTCACTGTCAAAAATCAACTTGTCAATATTATATATTACATACCCATATACATGCTCCTTGACTTAACAATAAACTTACATCCCAGTAAACCCAGTGTAAGTCAAAAGTGTATCTTCAACTTAAACCTATTGTGCACTGAAAATATCTTATCTGTAGGTAACCCCATAGTAAGTAAAGGAGCATAATGAATGCATGTAAAGTTGAAAAATCCTAAGTTGGGGCATCATCTGTATTATATTACTATTATCACTGAATTTATACAGTGTAAATACTTAAGCCAGGGGTCCTTAGACTTTTTAAACAGGGGGCCAATTCACTGTCCCTCAGACCATTGGAGAGTGCGCACTATGGGCCCAGGACAAGTCGGCTGCTAAGCAGGACAGGCAGCTGCGGCAAAAACACCTGGCCGGATCAATGTCCTAGGCGGGTGGCATGTGGCCCGCAGGCCATAGTTTGAGGACACCTGACTTAAGCAGTTAAAAAAGTGCTGAATAAAGTAAAGTGAGGACAAGAAGAGGCTTTCTCCTTTTGTGTATGTGTTAAAAAACCATACACTTTGTTAGGAGTATTGTACTAAGCAGGGATGGGTTCTACTTACAACTCAATAGGTGGGAGCTACCCCCCTGACCATAGCTGGCATCCTTGTGGTCTATGTGAGGTAACATGAATAATTTTATAGTTTGCTAATGTATTAACAAGTAATCCAAACAAAAGAAAATGACTCATCTAAGTCTCAAGGATATACAAACACATCTCTAGCCAAATAACAATAATCCTCACACAGTGAATAATTATATTTCTTTAAAATTAATATAATCAGAGCTTCAGGTAATATGTTCAGGTTACACTGTCTTCAACTGCTTTATAAATAACTAAATCAACATGACGTTTTTCCAAAAGGATTCACTGGTAATATTAAAAAATTTTAGAATTCCTTCCAATAACTGTTTTCTATGGAATGAATTTCTCCTTATTTAGGGAAAAAATGCCATTGCCCTGTCAGCAGCCTGAATCCACAACAAGGGTAAGGTTTGTATTAATTAGTGAGATCACCTCTAAAGTTCTTTCTTTCTTAATCTCATCAGGCAGAGTTTACCACTTCCTCCTCTGAATTATAATCTCTGTACCTTGTAATTGTTAACTCATCTTTCACTTTAGTACACTGAGGACAGGGATAGAATCTTAAATGGTATTTATATCACTGGCACCCCGGCTTAATAGAAAAACAATGAATGAAATGAATGTCTTTCATTTCCCCTAAGACTTCTCAGTGTGAGTCATTTTTGCCAGACTAGCATAGTTGATGGCTATGAAACCAACCAACTTGTGGGAGTCAAAGCTCATAATTCTAACACATTGACCATTATGTTACTGCCCAAACGTAGCACCATTGTTTCACAGTATACCACTGTCTTACTGTTAACCTTCTGTGTTCTAAAGTCAGCATGAAAATAACCGAAAAAGACCCCAAAAGCAATCATAGGAACAACAAAAATAAATAAATGGGACCTGATCAAATTAAAAAGCTTCTGCACAGCCAAGGAAACCATCATAAGAGCAAACAGACGATCTAGAGAATGGGAGAAAATATTCTCATGTAGCACATCTGATAAAGGGCTGATAACTAGAATGTATATGGAATTCAGAAGGAAACCCTCCTGCATCAATTTATACTTCACTGTTTCATTCTAGTTCTGCATGTGTGTGTTTAAAATACCCTCCTCCCCCCTCTTAACTGAGATCTAGCTTAAAGTGCTTTGCATATGAGAATTTCAAAATCCACTCTGAGAAATGGGAACCAAATAGAGGGAAAATAAAACTCTTCAAAACACACACTACCTTCCACTGCTCTTTTGAAGAATACTTTACAGCTTCCACAAGTCAAAACTCCATAATGACATCCGGAAGCTTCATCTGAGCACACCAGGCAGAGTTTGGGAGGTGGTCCCGTTGTTGTTGAGGAGCTAGATGGAGGAGAGCTTACATCTGGTCTCAGTCCAGGGCTAGAGAAGAAGAAACACAGTGTTAGGATTTAACTGTCATGACTATCAAAGGAGTATCAAAACACAGTTCTCTTAGTTTTCCACTCTTCAGTCAGCAGAACTCTGACTCTGGACACACTGAACTCTGACTTCAAGTACTACCAGGCACTAAAATGTCCATCTAAACATATTCAAATAATGTTATATTCTTCTTTTATACAAAATTAAGAATGAGGTCATTTCTTCTGAAGTGTCCAGAAAATGGAATGATGAGGTTGTGGTTTAGGTAGCAATTATTTTTAGTTGCTTGGGCTTTATTTTTATAATCACTTTTATTAAGGTGCCACATATAATAATGTTTACTATTTTCTAAGTACATAATTTATGAGTTTTGTTAAATAGTCTACCACCACGATCTAGAGAGAGGATATTTCCATCACCCCAAAAAGATGCCTCCTACCCCTTTAATTGCTTAGGACATCAATATTTTTCCCTAATTTTAAGATCTTATATAGGCATCTTTCTAAATACAATCAATTCTCATTACAGTTATGCCCATGTCTTCCACAGAGTCACAATTGTTTTACAATCTTAGAGTTTGCTCCTACCTCTCTCATTCCCAATGTCACCCTAGCTGAAACCACAATTTCTTGTTGCTTCTGAATTCCATATACATTCTAGTTATCAGCCCTTTATCAGATGTGCAACATGAGAATATTTTCTCCCATTCTCTAGATCGTCTGTTTGCTCTTATGATGGTTTCCTTGGCTGTGCAGAAGCTTTTTAATTTGATCAGGTCCCATTTATTTATTTTTGTAGTTCCTATGAATGCCTTTCGGGTCTTTTTCAGTAATTTTCATGCGGACTTTACAACACAACTGTCTTATATATTAACAGCTAAAAAGAATTTCTATCCTGCTTATAGTTAAACACTGCCCATTCCTTTTTTGGTCACGTGTTCTTAAGCAGACCTTCAAAAATATGAATAGCAGCAATCTGCTGATTTTGGGAACTCTACATATTAAAGAGTGTTTATCACCAATACAACAAAGTTCATAACCATATCATTACCTCTTTTAGAACTTTTAATTTGTTCTCTAAAAGAGTTGGCATTTAGGAATGAACTTAGATTGGCTGTTGTCTCTTGTCATCCTTTATTATTGCTTGCTTTTGTTTATTTCAGCTAATAACAGTACTAAATCTCAATTACAAACATGTTTAAACTAATTCACAGAGCAAACTAACTTAAGATACTGTTTTAGTTATCAGTCTGGTTAGAAATTATATTTATCAAGTAACAACTTTTTGCTGTTTTGTGTAGGAATGAAAGTTCAAAGGTAATAATTGTAGAATGATGACTTCACATATAAATGTTACCTTAAGTAATTAAGCCAGTAAACCCAAAATTTCCACCTAAATTTTCTTCACATGAAGCTTCCTGAACCTTGCAAAGTGTCTGGTTCTCTAAGAGGCTTAGTCAACAGGACAGTGTTCCCACCACACCAATTCGGAGAATAGGCCCCAGGGCTTCACATTGTTCTCTGAACACTGTAAAGAAGAATTTCTTGATGTTTCCGTATCACAAGGCCTTGATTCCCTGATAGATTTGGGCAAGTGGACTGACTTACATATTGAAAGCCTATAATAAAAGAGAATAACCTGACATGACTCTGCTGTAGATCTGGCACAAGCCACCACTGATTAATGGAAACTGGTGACTAATGTAGAAGAGCTGCTTTGGGCCAGTGTTTTACAGAGAAGTAGGAAGGTCCTGGAACAGTGAACAGAGCAGTAATGTGCTGGAGAAGCGTAAACTTCCCTGGCTTCTGTTCGGAAGATGCTCCTATTCCTGCTCAGCCAATCTCTGTCACCTGACATCTATTTTTAGGGATCAACCAGTTGTTTGTATATTTAGTTTATGTAAAATGAGTACATTATTTATAGATCTGAAAAGTAATTCTGTAATATTTCCTCAACCAGTTTTATACACACACATACTATGCATTTGATTTTAATTAGTACTTTGTAGGACTTTATAGTTTTAGCTCTCAATAACCCTGTGAAAAGGATGTTATCACCCTTCATGCAGTCGTGCAGGCAGTGGCAGGTGGTTGATCAGGGATCCTATCTGTGGTTAAACTGATATGTTGCAGATCCCAGCTGTTCAGACCTCACTTAACAGCTTCTGTGACCCTTGGTAGGTACCTACTACTTGGAGGCTCAGGTTCCACATCAATAAACTAGGAAGGACATCACCTGTGTGTATGTGTTGGGAAAATAAGATACTTATAGCAAGGCTAGTACATAGATCCTGCATCTACCAGGTACTCGATACATGCTCATTCTTTTCCCTTTTAGGAAAACTGAAGATTTTATGAATAAGCATTATGTAAGTGGAAGGTAGTATTAAGTCTAAAATCTAGGACAGTATTCCCAAATTCTCACTTACATATTAGAACATATGGAAAACATGTTTAGGCCACTCAGCTGTGAGCTACAGATAACAAAAGGGAAACTAAAAACTAAATGAACAAAAGGATTGATAGTGTCCAGATTCTTAGCTACTGTTCTAAGTCAGGCTTTTGGCATCCCTTCAGGCAGTCATTCTGGGCTACATCAGATAAGAACTGAGTACATGGAAAGCTGCCAGGTGTACCACAGACATCAATGGAAAAAATCAGTTTTTGTCACAGAAATATGAGGATTGTAATGACTTATAATGAGCACCAATGGAAGAAAGGGATCAATGCTAAATGGTATTCAGTTGCAGATGTTGACCCTATGATATTTCTATAAGGATACAACAAAATGGTTAGAACAACAAAATGGTTTTCAAGGGAAAACCACATGGAATTGCCACCTTTTATTAAGGATAGAGGGCAGAAGAAATCAAAAGTATACTATAATAAGAGTACATATTTCACCCCCTTTAAATGGGAAAGCTAAAATGTCTGGATCTTAGGGGCATTATTATCTACAATAGTAACTGATCAATGTGTGTTTACAGCTGTGCCAAACATTCTGAACATGCTGAGAGGTTCCATTATAAACTGACTATATACATATCCTTTCTTTTAAGTGAGGACAAAATGGTTGTTCCAAGTGAATACTTGACTGCTGTTGGTTCTCAGTCATTCCTGAGGCTGAGTTTACATGAGAATTGAGAGAGACGAAAACATGCATAAAGCTGGGTATTTCTATTTAATTTTCTTGCAAAAAAGGCAAATGATGAAAGGAGGATCATCCATAAAATAGTCATGGACATTCTGAGGGTTAATCATATACCTTGACAAGCATGTAAAATATGCAGGTAAATTTCATTCATTCATTCACCAGACACTTCTGGCACCTGAATGCCAGGCACTGTGCAGATACAGAGGTCATATCATACTTGAAATGATAATAAACCTTGAAACTTTGATCCACGAAGGAATAGCAGAATATTTTTTAGCCACTTCTCTGATACTTCTAGGAGGAGAATTAAGCTGTACAGACAGACAAATACGGGTTTGAATCCTAGGTCCAGTGCCCTAATAGCTGTGTGACAAGTGTGGCTAGCTGACTTAACCTCTTTGAGTCTATTCCCTCAATACCATTTTAGGGCGTCTCATGTAGATTATATATTAGAGTTACTAATATATAAAGCACTGGTACATACTAGGTGATTGTCAAGCTATAGGTTTTTACCCTCCCCTTTTTTCTACTCCACTCACCCTCCACCCCCAACTCCTCCTTCCGTCCTGGAGAATCCCAGGGAAAGAGGGTGCTATGTTCTTCCTCGTCAGCCAGGGGAAGGTTAATGGTCCTCCTAGAAGATTTAGTTCGGATATTATATTCTTTCCTGATACTACACAAAAATTCAACAATTTAGTTTTTTTAAGTTTAGTGTTGTAATGTGGAAACTGAAACCGTATCAATGAACTTTTGATAACACAACTGTTATATTAAAATCCATTGGTCTATCTTGCACTTTCAATGGATCTTTTACCCATGCATGATTCTGCATTATCATGTGGTTCGTCATTTGTAAAATATTGGTTCAATGAGTTATGCAGATCTTCCAAATGTTGACACAGTTCACTATATAAAAGAGTTATGTTTGTCAGACTCACAGTGGCAGATATATAAGTCTTCTAAAATTCTAATTTTTGTTTGAAACCTATATTTTATCAATTGGCAACAAATACTGTCAGTTATTTTCCTTAAAATTCTACATTTCAGTAATTTTTGAGAAAACATCTGCCAAATACCCACAGTTGAAAACCAGTTTATCTCTCCCGTTATTCCATTAAAAAAAAGTGGCTTGTTTTAATTAACAACTTAATCTTATACATGCTTTTCTATGAGACAGCCATCAAATGCTATAAGCAGTATAAGTGCTTTATGCATCTTCCCAATTTGTCACACGGATATTAAAAAGACACATTTATTCGGGGCTGAGACTTAACAGAATTCATATTTTGCTTCCTCAAAGATACTAAGTGGAACTGACTTTTTCTTTTCATAATGAGTGCATGACAGTGAATACAATGACACTTAATACATTAAGACGCCAACAATTTTAGTCACCTTTGCGTTTGTACCATCATTGCAAATGTAAACACAGTGAAATGGCAAGTATGTATTATCACGAAAATTATTCTAAAAGGGTCTTGGGGATCCCAGGAGTCCACGGACCAGACTGTGAGAACTGCTGTTTTGGAGAATAGTGAGTGAAGACTCTAAAGCAGACAGCCTACGATTTATGACCTAACTGCAATGGAGTAGCTTGGTGACCTTTTAATTTTTCTCAATTGCAATTCCCTACTTCTACCTAGAAACAGTAATGTACCTGGCAAAAGGATACAATATTGCTTACTAAATTAGAGGCTCTCCCCACCCCCAGATTAAGAGACAGAGATGCCAAACTATTACTAACCCAAATGGTGTGGTTGGCACAGCCTTCAATTTCAGTGAATTCAGTCAACAGTTTTTCAACGTAATACAAGAAATCCATTTGGGAAAAACAAAAAGGATATCAT